CTCTAAAAAGAAAGAGGGGTACAACTTACATAAATATAAAATATGGGAGAGAGAACCAAGACCTTCTTTTGACTTCTCCTTAACACTAAGGTAGGAATTCTACCCCTTTAGCTACTGAAAATTCGAAAGAGGGGCTTAGGTAGAGTGAAAATTTTACAATCGATCAAGTTCTTAAAGATCAAGTTGTGGCAATAGTAAGAGATCGAAAATCATCTCTAGTTTCTCTGTAAGGTATCCATGAGCTCCCTCTAATATTTTTATCACTTTTAAGATATATATATATATATATATATATAATGAACTAAGGAACAATAGTCATCGTATCGCCATGATTGTTTCTAGTTTTTGGCGTTTTACAACCATAAAACTCAAATTCTACCCGACCCCTTGATTTTTGTGTGCTATAGCCCATGCCTTCTGCGTGGATCCGGTCGACCAGACCCAGATCGCCTAAAATTTTGTCGGCCCATCCAAAATGACCTTAGGAACAATAGTCATCGCCTCGCCATGATTGTTCCTCATTTTTTGGTATTTTAGGGCCATAAAACGTAATTCTGCCTGATTTCCAGATTTTCATGTGCTATAGCCCACGCCATGTTCATAGGTCCAGGCGACCAGACCCAGATCGCTTAAAATTTTGTCGGCCTATCAAAAATGACCTAAGGTACAATAGTCATCGCCTCGCCATAACGTTCATTATTTTTTGATGTTTTAGGGCCATAAAACTGAAATTCCGTCCGATTCCTAGATTTTCGTGTGCTATACCTAAGGGTGGCATGTGGGGCGGGCCCGGTCTTAAGTGGGCTTCGTGGTCTCGGTCCTAAGTGGTCCCGGGCTTTGCGGGCTTCTTGTTGGAACCGGCCCGGGACCGGGACCACGAACTAACGGTCCCGGGTTAAGTGGGCCGGTCCCAAGCCTAAGTGGGCTCAACGGATACTTTTTATTTTTTTAAATATTTTATAGAAGTTAGAGAAAAATAATGGTAATAAAAATATTTAAGTCAATTCCTTGTAAATTATATTATAGAATTGTGACCTAAAATTTTTAATTCAAATTTAAAGACAAAAATATTGTAAAGAGATATCCAAGCAATATTCGATATATATATATATAAGCTATATTCGATATTAAATATTGATTATTAAAATTTAGGATGTTATAATTATAAAACATTTGGGGTTAAAACAAAGTTGAGGGGTTAAATGGCTATTTTGTAAATAGCCAACGACTATTTTGGCAGAGAAAACAGCTAGATTTTAAATGCCATAACGGCTATAATGTGGCAGATTTTTCTTTTTTAAAAAAAATTAGCCATTGGGCCGGGATAGGCCCGTTTGCGACCGCTTGAACCGGCCCACTTCCCAGCCGGTCCCTGTCTCGCGGGCCTCGCCTATGGGACCAGCCCACTACCCAGCCCACCTCCCCACGGTCCCGGTTCTATCCGGTTAGGACCGTTTAGGCCCACCGCCCATATGGGCTTGTGGTCCTGGCCCGGGCCCGGTCCTAACCGGCCCACATGCCACCCTTAGCTATACCTACGCCATCTGCGTGGGTCGGGGCGACTGGACCCGTATCGCCTAAAATTTTGCCGAGCTATAAAAAATGACCTAAGGAATAATAGTCATCGGCTTTCCATGACTATTCCTCTTTTTTGTCCTTTTAGGGTCATAAAACTTGAATTCAGCTCAATTCCTAATTTTTTCGTGTGTTATAGCCGACGCCATCTGCATAGGTCCGAGCGACTGGACCCGAATCGCCTAAAATTTTATAGGCCCATCAAAATGACCTATGGAACAATAATCATCGTCTTGTCATGACCGTTCCTCGATTTTTGGCGTTTTAGGGCCATAAAACTTGAATTCTGCCCGATTCCTAGATTTTTGTATGTTGTAACCCATGCCACCCGCATGGGTCTGGACAAACGTATCTGGATCACCTAAAAAATTTTCGGCCCATAAAAAACGACTGAAGGAACAATAGTCATCGCCTCACCATAACCAGTTCTCGATTTTCAGCGTTTTAGGGCCATATAACAGGAATTTCGTCTTATTCTAAGATTTTCATGTATTATAGCCCACGCCATCTGCATGGGTCCGGGCGACCGGACTCGAATCGCCTAAAATTTTGCTGGCCTATCAAAAATGGACCTAAGGAACAATAATCATCGCCTCACCTTGACCGTTACTCGTTGTTTTGCGTTTTAGGGCCATAAAACTTGAATTTTTCCCGATATCCTAATTTTCGTGTGCTACTAGCCACGTCGCCTGCATGGGTCCGGGTAACCGGACCCGTGTAGCCTAAAATTTTGTCGGCCCATCAAAACCGACCTAAGTAACAATAGTCATCACCTCTCCATGACCGTTCCTCGTTTTTTGGCGTTTTAGGACCATAAAACTAGAATTTCACCCAATTCCCATATTTTCGTTTACTATGCCCACGACATCTGCATGGGTCCGGGCGACTGGACCCATATCGCCTAAAACTATGTATGCCCATCAAAAACGACCTAAGGAACAATAGTTTCGCTCGCCATGACCGTTCCACATTTTTTGGCATTTTAGGGCCATAAAACTGGAATTCCACTTGACTCCTAGATTTTTGTTTACTATAGCCCACAGCATTTGCATGAGTTCGGGTGACCAGACCCGTATCGCCTAAGATTTTACCGGCCCATCAAAAATGACATAAGGAAAATAGTCATCGCCTCGCCATGATTGTTCCTCATTTTTTGGCGTTTTAAGGACATAAAACTGGAATTCGAGCGACCGGACCCGGATCACCTAAAATTTTGTCGGTCCATCAAAAATGATCTAAGAAACAATAGTCATCGCCTATCTATGACTGTTCCTTATTTTCTAGCGTTTTAGGGCCATAAAACTAGAATTCTGCCCGATTTCCTAGATTTTTGTGTGCTATAGCTCACGCCATATATATGGGTATGGGCGACCAGACCCGAATCGTCTAAAATTTTGCCGGCCCATCAAAAATGACCTAACGAACACTAGTCATTGCCTCTCCATGACCATTCATCATTTTTTAGTGTTTTAGGGCCATAAAATTTGAATTTTTCCTGATTCCTAAATTTTTGTGTGCTTATTGACCCGGAATGACTAAAATTTTGCCAGATCGTCAAAAATGAACTAAGGAACATCAGTCATCACCTCGCCTCGACCGTTACTCGTGTTTTGGCATTTTCGGGCCATACAATTAAAATTTTGCCTAATTCTCATATTTTCATGTGCTATAACCCACGCCATCTGCATGGGTTCTGGTACGGATCCGGATTGCCTAAAATTTTGTCGACCCATCAAAATCGACTTAAGGATCAATAGTTATCCCCTCGCCATGACCGTTTCTCATTTTTGGCTTTTTAGGGCTATAAAACTGGAATTCCGCATGATTCCCAGATTTTCATGTGCTATAGCCCATGCCATCTTCATGGGTCCCGGCGACCCATCTCGGATCGCCTAAGATTTTGTAGTCCAATCAAAAATGACCTAAGGAACAATAGTCATTGCCTCTCCATGACCGTTCCTCATTTTTTGGCATTTTAGGCCCATAAAACTGAAATTAAGCCAGACTCCCAGATTTTTGAGTGCTATAATCCACACAATTTGCATGGATCCAGACGACCGGACTCGCATCGCCTAAAATTTGTTCGGCCCATGAAAAACGACCCTAGGAACAATAGTCATCGCCTCACCATGACCGTTCCTCATTTTTTGGCATTTTAGGGTGCCATAAAATTGGAATTCCACCCGATTTCTAGATTTTCATGTATAGCCCACGCCATCTTAATGGGTCCAGGCGACCGGACCCGGATCACCTAAAATTATGTCGGACCATAAAAAATGACCTAAGGAATAATTAGTCATCCCCTCGCCATGACCGTTCCTCTTGTTTTGGCTTTTTAGGGCTATAAAACTAGAATTCCGCCCGATTCCCAGATTTTCGTGTGCCATCCGCATGGGTCAGGGCGACCGCACCTAGATCGCCAAAAATTTTCCCGACCCATAAAAAATGATCTAACGAATAATATTCATCATCTCGCCATGATCGTTCCTCATTATTTTGCGTTTTACGGCCATTAAAATGGAATTCCGCCTGATATGCTGATTTGTGTGTGCTATAGCCCATGCCATCTACAAGGGTCTGGGCGACCGGACCAAGATCACCTAAAATTTGCCGGCCCATACAAAATGACCTTAAGGAACAATAGTAATCGCCTTGCCTTGACCGTTCCTCATGTTTTGTTATTTTTGGGCCATAAAATTAGAATTTCGCCAGATTCCTAGATTTTTGTGTGATATAGCCCACCCATCTGTATGGGTCCAGGCAATCAAACCCGTATCACGTAAAATTTTGCTAGCCAATCAAAAACGACCTAAGGAACAATTGTCATCACCTTGCTGTGAGCACATAATTTTTGCCCTAAGTGTATATCACTCCTAAAAGACTCAAATATAGATATTGTTTTCAATTATATGGATTTTTGTAGATTTTCTAAAGATTTTTCCTGGTTGTTTGTTTTCATTTTTAGATTAATTGCATTATTAGGAGCATTTTTAAATCATATAAAACTACCAAAAATACTTTTGATTTCATTTATCGCATTCTAATTACTAAAATTCTTGGCATTTTTAGTGTAAACAATTAATTAGTTTAACTTTTTAAATAGATAAAATAGTTGGGTAGGCTGTTTGTGTAAAAGTGTGATTAATTTTTGGTTAACTTTAAAATGTTTGATTGTGTAAAAAATAAGGAAAGGTTAATTGGTGCTATTTTTCCTGCATCTCATTTGGGCTGCACAAAAATAGAGGCCCAATTACGTTCAGATTTGCCCAGACCAACTCCCTTAGCCCGGTCCAGGCTTCCCCTTTAACCAAACGACCTCGTTTCATTCCCTTCAATCTCAGTCGTTCATCGGACTTAATCCAACGGTTTGGAACTGGCCCCCTTCCCCTTATAATTGTCGGAGACACCCCCTACCCCCTAAATGACCTCTCAGATCATCTCTCACCTCCTCTCTCATGCCCCATCTTCTGTCGTCGCCGGAAATCGCCCACGGCGGCGGCCAACCTCTAAATAGTCATTAGACAATCCCCACCTCCTTCTCAAAACCCTCCAGAATCTCTCAATTTGTAGATCTAGGAAATCATAAACCCTAAATCTACCTCCTCTCTGATTCTTCCTTAAATTCTGGTTTATTTAGATTTAATATCAATGTCAGTCATCTTTTCCCGTTGTTAACCATCATTTCATTGTAGTTTCAATTCATGTCGAGACTACCGAAAATCGATCAAAATCCCATTGACCGTCCAGTCCTCTTCCAAAACTATTATTTCTGCTCCCAATCTGGCTCGCCACAAGCATTGTGACACATAACATTGGCCTGTTTGAGAAATCGATGGCCATTTCTTGTGTAACAATGCCTCTTGCGCGCCGAAATTTTTGTGTGCTCGCCAGAGTCTAGTTTTAGCTCATCGGAGTCAGTGTCGCTGCTTTAATCCAGCTCAAACAGGTGTAATTCATTCTTTTCCTTCACTGTGTTCAACCTCGTGATTCATTTCTGGTATCCGACTTATTTTAATCATTTAAGTTTAGATGTGGATTCATGTTCTAGTTGAATTGTTGTGTTAAATTGCGTAGTTTCTAGTTTAGCAGGTTTAATTAATTGTTGATTCATGCTTTTTTTATTGGCATAGTCAGTTCTGTCTAGTTTTTGTATATTAGCCATTTGTCAATTCAGTTTAGTTAGTTGTTGTTTTGTAAATGTTTGATCCTGCTAAGTGAAAGAAGGCAATTGATTTCAGAAGTTAGTAATTGTTGAGGTAAAAGAAAAGGTTAAAAGAAGGGTATTAACAGGAACTTGAGGGGGCTAAAGGAAATAGAAATCTTGGGAATCATGGGTGTAACTGACTTGTAATATTCTATAATAGGGCAGTAAAGGTTGGAAAGCAATAAAACAGTAAACATTAGGTAAAAAGCGGACTTAAGGGTTAAAACACATAAAATAAAATGGACTGGAAAGAAAGAGAAATAACAGAACAAGGCAGTTGGCATTCTGCTATAAGAGCAGTACATTCCCTCATGATTACTCACGCATTCACTGATTATTCTCACACATTCACTGGCAATTCATTTTCTCACTCTCACTCACTCTCATACACGCTAAAAACACCTTAGTAGCAGCTGGAAAATAAAAAATCCAGATCTGAACTTCAAAAAATTTCAAAAACCAAAAGCTGAAAATAAAAGGAATCAGAAGCTGATCCAAATCTCAGCTCATTTACTTTACATTCTCTGGGAGTTTCAAGGTGGTAGAAGTGTTGTCTGTTTGCTATTGTTTGTTGGATTTACTAGCTGGGCTTCCTCTCATTTCTCCTTGCCTTTATTTGGCCATTTGCTGATTGTTTCCTGCTAGTAGGTATGTAAAGTTCCTCCTGTAACTCTTGTGAATGTAGAAATGAAGAGTTGATGTGTTGATTCCCTGACTATGCCTACTTCTATATGTTCCTGATATTTGAATGTGAGATCTGTTCATCTTTGCTTCTTGATGAGTATCTGATTATGCTTGTTTATTTGAGCTGAATATCTAAGTTAGAATTACTCACTAACTAGACTAGTTGCTATTGATAATGTTCTATTGCATTTAAGCATGTTGATAATCAACATATCGGCATGTTTAAACATCTCGTGACATCATTAGATCTGTACCTAACTGTATCTGTTGTTTTCTCATGATAAAATTTCTGCTGTAGTATAGAATATACAACATGTTGAGACGTAGTTTGTTCGTCTAGCTAGAAACAGAATTGGAGTTAGAGATTTTCTGGTTAAAGATGAAGCTGAAAGGAACGTCCATCTATGTCTCCCTATTCTGATTATTGCGCATTTGCATATAGAAATCTGAAGAAGGAACAGAGAAAAGATCATTTGTATACTGTTTTAATTCATTTAGTTTAGAATTTGTGAAGCCATTTTTCATGAGTCTAAGGATTGAATTAGAGAGTTTGTAATAACTTAGTTCATTAGTTTTTTTTGTAATTAATCAGGGGTTACAATTGTTACTTATATTATTTTTCTCTAATTGGTTGAAATTCTTGTAATTGAATTATTCCTTCCTATGATTGTGTAAGTGATGTTAGATCTGATGAAGCTCACACAAATGAGCATATGCTGAATTACTCCTTTCCTTGACGTTTGGGCTTCACTTGGAACCCAATTATGAGAAAACGACTATGTATAAGATTTGCTGTGAGCGTAACTTTTAGTTGGCCTATTTCGGTGGCCTCCAGGCCCAAACCCATAGGAGTTCCGCCTAAACTTTGATCAGGCCAAATTGCGCCTAAATCATAAAGCCTAAGTGGTATTATTAACTCCAACACCCTTGTCCTTCAATCAACCAAACTTCGAGAGTATAAACTTGAATTAACAGTGGGTGATTGTCCTTTATCACCCCATAGAATTAAGGTATTGATCCACACACTAGTCTTTTGTTAAGGTTAAGCAATAAAAACTACCCCCTTAAGCCCACAATGCTTTTCATAATCATACCCCACACTAATCTCAAACAAGTTTCTTTAGGAAATTAATTAACATATGAATATTCGTAGGATGCTTTAGGCGCGTTCTAATGTATTATCGTGATTGTGTACACGTTCGCGTGACATAATTATGATTCCCAAAATATATCAAGGTACGCATTTGTCCGACTTTGGCCAAACAATCTTAACAAATAAATAACGTGTTATTAATTGTGTACATGTATACGTGACATGATTTTTAGCGCACTAAATAAAATGGATTCACACACATGTGGTTCGTTTCAAGATAATTCCATAACACCATAATTAAGTAATTAAAAGGCGTTAAAAGATAAAAATGCACATAAGTTCTAGAATACGTAATAATTAAATAATTAAGGCGAGTCAACAAAATTCCTTACCCGGTCTTCTGTGTTTTACGGACCGTAAACAGAGTCAATTTTTCTTGATTTGGGATTCTATAATAAATGGTGACTCAGAACACCACAATTAAAAAATTCCGAGTGTCGACTCTTAAAAATAAATCATTCAATCCCATTTCAATAATGTCACTTAAAGTTAAAACATTTCTTTACCCGTAAAAAGGAGGTGTGACACTTGCCATGGCCGTTTCCTCATTTTATGGCATTTTAGAGCCATAAAATTAGAATTTCGCCCGATTCTCAGATTTTCGTGTGCTATAGCCCGCGCCATCCGTATGGATCCGGGCAACCGGACCCTGGTTGCCTAAAATTTTGTCATCCCATAAAAAACAACCTAAGGAACAATAGTCATTATCTCGCCATGACCTTTCCTCGTATTTTGGCGTTTTAGGGCCATGAAACTGGAATTCTACCCAAATGTTTGTGTGTTATAGCTCAATCCATCTATATGGATCCAGACGACCGGATCCGGGTTGCCTAATATTTTGTCGGCCTATCAAAAACATACTAAGGAACAATAGTCATGGCATCGCCATGACCGTTACACGTGTTTTGACGTTTTAGGGTCATAAAATTAGAATTCCGCCTAATTCCTAAATTTTCATGTGCTATAGCCCGTGCCATATGTATGGGTCCAGGCGACTGGACCCGGATCCCCTAAAAACTTTTCAGCCAATTAAAAATGACCTAATAAAAATTAATCATCGCCTCGCCATGACAGTTTCTCAGTTTTCGGCCTTTTAGGGCCATAAACTGGAATTTCGCCTGATTCCCTAATTTTCGTGTGCTATAACCAATGCCATCTGCATGGATCCGGGCGACCGGACCCGGATCACCTAAAATTTTGCCGTCCCATAAAAAATGACCTAAGGAATAATAGTTATCGCCTTGCCATGACCGTTCCTCTGTTTAGGCATTTTTAGGGCCATAAAACTGGAATTCATCTCGATTCCCAGATTTTGTGTAATGTAGCCCACGCCATCTCGAAGGTCCGAACGACCGGACACGAATCGCCTAAAATTTTGTCAGCCCATAAATAATGTCTTATGAAACAATAATCATCGACCTTGTCATGACCGTTCCTCATTGTTTGGCATTTTAGGGCCATAAAACTAGAATTCCCTCCGACTAACAGATTTTTGTGTTGTAGCGCACGCCATCCGCATGTTTCCGGGTGAATGGATTTAGATTACCTAAAATTTTATATGTCCATCGAAAACGATCTAAGAAACAATAGTCATTGCTTCACTATGACCGTTTCCCGATTTTTGGCGTTTTAGGACCATAAAGTTGGAATTCCGCTCGATTCCTAGATTTTTGAGTGCTATAGCCCACACCATCTACATGGGTCTGGGGGACCGGATTCGAATCACCTAAAATTTTGTTAGCCCAAAACAAATGACCTAAGGAACAATAGTCATCGTCTCGCCATGACCGTTCCTCGTTTTTTGGCATTTTAGGGCCATAAAACTTGAATTTCGTTCGATTCCTAGATATTTATGTGCTATTACCCGTGCCATCTGTATGGGTCAGAGAGACCAGACCTGGATCGCCTAAAATTTTGCAGGCCCATAAAAATGACTCAAGTAATAATAGTCATGGCCTCCCCATGACCGTTCCTCGTTGTTTTTGCTTTTTAAGGCCATAAAACTAGAATTTCGCCCGATTCCTAGATTTTCTGAGCTACGCCCACGCCATCTGCATGGGTACGGGCGGCCGGACACGGATCGCCTAAAATTTTTTCAGCCCATCAAAAATAACATAAGAAATAATAGTCATCGTCTCGCCATAACTGTTCCTCATTTTTTAGCATTTTAGGGCCATAAAACTGGAATTCTGCCTGATTCCTAGGATTATGTGTGCTAGCCCACGCCATCTGCATGGGTACATGCGACCGGACCCAAATCACTTAAAAGTTTGCCGACCTATCAAAAATGACCTAAGGAACAGTAGTCATCGCCTCGCCATGATCGTTCCTTATTTTTTTGTATTTGAGGGCCATAAAATTTGAATTTCATCGGATTCCCATATTTTCGTGTGCTATTGCCCATGCCATTTGGTGTTCGGGCGACCAGTTCCGAAATACCTAAAAAATTTCGTCCTATAAAAAATGACCTAAGGAACAATAGTCATCGCCTCGCCATGATCATTTCTCGTTTTTTGGCATTTTAGGGCCATAAAAAACTGGAATTCCACCCGATTCTCAGATTTTTGTATGATATAGCCCACGCCATCTCCATGGGTCCGGGTCCAGACCTGGATCGCCTAAAATTTTATCGACCTATCAAAATCGACTTAAGGATCAATAGTCATCGCCTCGCTATGACTATTCCTCATTTTTGGCATTTTAGGTCCATAAAACTAAGATTATGTTCGATTCTTAGATTTTCGTATGCTATCGCCCATGTCATTGACATGGGTCCGGACGACCGGGCCTGGATCGCCTAAGATTTTGTAGGCCCATAAAAAATGACCTACGGAACAATAGTCATCACCTCGCCATGACCGTTCCTCTTTTTTGGGGCTATAGGGCCATAAAACTAAAATTTCGCCCGACTCCCATATTTTCATGTGTTATAGACCACACAATCTACATGGATCCGGACGACCGTACCCTGATCGCCTAAAATTTTGTCGGCCCATCAAAAACAACTGTAGGAACAATAATCTTCGTCTCGCCATAACCGTTCCTCATTTTTTTGGCATTTTAGGGTCATAAAATTGGAATTCTCCCTGATTCCCAAATTTTTATGTGTTATAGCACATGCCATTTGCATGGGTCCAGGTGACCAAACCCAGATTGCCTAAAATTTTGCTGGCCCATCAAAAACGACCTAAGGATCAATAGTCATCGTCGCGCCATGACCGTTCCTCATTTTTTGGCATTTAGGGCCATAAAATAGGAATTCTGCCCGATTCCAAGGTTTTTGTGCGCTATAACCCACGCCATCTATATGGGTACGGGGGACCAGACCCAGATTGCCTAATATTTTACCGGCCCATCAAAAATGATAAAGAACAGTAGTCATCGTCTCGCCATGATTGCTCCTAGTTTTTTGGTGCTTTAGAGTTATAAAATTAGAATTTTGCCTGATTCCCATATTTTCATGTCCTATTGCCCACGTCATCGGCATGAGTCCAGGCGGCCAATTCTGGAATACCTAAAAAATCTGTCGGCCCATCAAAAACGACTTAAGGAACAATAGTCATCGGCTCGCCATGACCGTTCCTTATTTTTTAGTGTTTTAGGGCCGCCATAAAATTGGAATTCCGCCTGATTCCCAGATTTTTGTGTGCTATAGCCCACGCCATCTGCATGGATCCGGGTCCAGACCTGGATCGCCTAAAATTTTGTTGGTCCATCAAAATCGACCTAAGGATCAATAGTCATTGCCTCGCTATGACCGTTCCTCATTTTGGGAGTTTTAGGACCATACAATTGGAATTCTGTCTCATTCCCAGATTTTCGTGTGCTATAGCCCATGCCATCTGCATGGATCCTAGTGACCGGGCCCGGATCGCGTAAGATTTTGTAGGCCCATTCAAAATGACCTAAGGAACAATAGTCATTGCCTCTCCATGACCGTTTCTCATTTTTTGGAGTTTTAGGGCCATAAAATTAAAATGTCGCCCGACTCCCATATTTTCATGTGTTATAATCCACACAATCTGCATGGATCCGGATGACCGTACCCTGATCGCCTAAAAAAATTTCAGCCCATCAAAAATGACTATAGGAACAATAATCTTCGTCTCGCCATAACCGTTCCTCATTTTTTGGCATTTTAGGGTCATAAAATTGAAATTCTGCCCGATTCCCAAATTTTCATGTGCTATAGCCCAAACCCGGATTGCCTAAAAATTTGCTGGCCCATCAAAAATGACCTAAGGATAAATAGTCATCATTGCACCATGATCGTTCCTCATTTTTTGGCATTTAGGGCCATAAAAAGGAATTCTACCCGATTCCAAGGTTTTTGTGTGCTATAGCTCATGCCATCTGCATGGGTCCTAGCGACCGAGCCCGGATCGCGTAAGACTTTGTAGGCCCATTAAAAACGACCTAAGAAACAATAGTCATTGCCTCGCCATGACAGTTCCACGTTTTGGGGGGGTTTTAGGGCCATAAAATTGAAATTCCGCCCGAC